GTTACTTATATTTTAGCCTTCGAAAAATTAACTTAATATTTTAGTTCTATTGCTAGATTGGAATGTTGAATATAAACTTTATGTTGACACTTGAAAGTTAACTTAAAGAGCCTAAATCTTGTCAAACTTGATGACTTACAAGGATTTAAAAAACTTAAAATAAAATTGTTTTAATAATTTTAATAAAATTTACCAAAATAAGAAACTGTTAAAAAAACATCAAAAACATATTCTAAAAATAAACTAATACCTATAAAATAACTACCTATCGAAAAAAAAAAAATGAATCATACCGAGAATATTTTTTACATTTCTATTGTCATTACGTGATAGCAATAAGAAAAAAAATAGGTACCTACACACTTCAAAGTGGGTTTATACAAAAATACAAAAATATAAATTCATTGAACAATTGCTCAATTGAGCTAAATTAATTACGTCATATTTGACGTTGCGTCAGTGTTTTTTTTTTTTAACTTTTAGATATTATATCTACGAAAATTAAAAAGTAAATTTAAACTTATTTTATTGGATTTTATACAACTCAAACCAAATGTTTATAAAAATTAATTTGGCATTAAATCTATTAAATCGTTAATAGAGACAGCAAAATATATCATGTTCTAGACCCTATTAGATATACATCGTGTTCTTAAATTCAATACTCAATCCATCAACTATTATTTCGCTATATTATTTTATATTAGCATAAAAACTATTTAAATGAATAGTTTTCTTGGTGTAATTGGACTTTCAAAACGTTCTAAATTACACTAAATATATCAAAATGTGCTTGCAAATAATATATTTATATATACATGGCAATGGCAGTAAAATTACTTCTGTTTCTGTAATTGAAATTGTTCCTTGAAATGGCTCCAAGCCAATTTGATTGTCTTGTGTAACATAATATATTATTATATTATATTATATTGACATGAACTATTATCCTATGTGATATAACATTATTATCTGAAAATGTAACCAGGTACAATTAAATATAATTATCTTTTTGAGTACCACAACGTAATTTAGAGTTCTTAAAAGTAAATTATTTAATTTTTAATTTTTTTAGAAGTCGTACTGATAAATCTATCTGACGACATTCATACAGATTGGACAATTTAATTAAAAATTAACGTTAAAAAATAATTTTGAATGAATTATCCGACTTATTTGCTTTTCAGTAAAAACAGTTTTAATATATATATTTAATGTACCGTTACAAGAGTCTAATGAAATCTATTACGGCTACACTAATTCACTGTTCCTTGTAATATTTTATTTCTTCCTTATTATACTGTGCAATGAAATGTTTATTTCTCGATTACCTATATCGTATTCTACGACTAAAATAAATCATCTCGTTGAAATGTTAATGTTATCGTGCTTGAGAAACAGCGCAGATGAAACTCAGCACAGTATTATTAATATGTAAATCAGTAGAAGATCGACTGGACAAATGTTATGCGTATGAACTTCCATTGGGATCCTAAAAACTGCGTAGTTTTGCAATATGCTTGTGATTTTTTTATTTACAAAATCAAAACGAAAGTCAACAGAAATTTGACAAGAGAAACAATATTGACTATTTTTTGCACCTACAGGCTGGAAACCCAATCAATACTGTAACATACGAAAGGTTTTTACTGGTATGATAAATTATGTTTATATGTATTTTATTACTAACTAACTATCACAAAAATTATCTTAAGTAAAATAATAGACATAATATTATATATATATAAATTTATTTATGGTGTTCAAGAAATTAACGATATATATATATATAGAGTCTGGCAGTCTAGCAAAATGTGACATGAATTAATGAAACTCGACATTTTGTTTATGTTTTTAGTGAAAACCAGAGACTTTTGATATTGTTATACCAAACTAAGATTATAGATTACTGCGGTTAATAACATCAACGGCAAAAATAAAGACTGTTGGTACGTAAACTCAAAGTAAATTGAATTACAGTTTGTCACTATAATATTCGCCGTGAAGCAAAAATTATAATTGTCAAAAAAAAAAAAAAATAATAATAATAATAATAAATAAATAAATAAATAAATAAATATTCTTGATTTCTATAGTAAAAATAGATTTGTATACAGTCGCATATTTTTTCTAAGTTATATTATTTATTGCATAAACACATCGTAAGTGCAGATTATACAATTTTAAGATCTTATATTTAATAAATGCAAATGTAGGTGTTTTGTTATAGGTATGTATTTAAGAAGATTTTTGTCAATTTATTTCGGTTAAAAATTATTTGTATATATATGCCTATATTATATGTATTGCACTCAATTGTTTGTCATGAAATTTTTCATGCTCTATTAATTGAACTGTATTATTGTTACAATATTTTAAGGAGGATATAATATTAATTAAACTAACATTTACAAGTATTAAGTCATATGAAAAAAACACATATTTTTTCAAATCGGCATGATATATTTTTGTTAAAATTTACATTATTTTGTATATTAGATAATATATTTTTGTGCATACATTATACTTACACATATTAATAATTTATTAGTAAACGAAAATACACTTTCTAATATCAACACTTTAAATATTCAATAATTAATACGTTTGAATTGATTTTACCTATGCCGGATTGCGTGAACAATCACTAAGCATTTAATAAACCAACAGTAAACTAATGGTCCATCAAATATGATTTAGTTGCCCGTGATTGGTCCATTAAATTTTATTGAAACCATTAAATTAATCAACCATTCATGCAACCCTAGGTTAGCACTAGTGTTTAAATTTGTCTAAATGAATTAAAATTGATTTTAAGTAATCACTTTTCGATACATAAATTTTAAACATAGGATTATGAGTTTATAACTAATGTATATAATATTGCACAGTTATAAAAATAATTTAATCAAAAATCTGTTGAAATATTGATCGACTAATGTTATTATTGTTAGACTATTATTAAATTGTTCAATTATTTTAAGATTTTGTTTTCAAAAGAAAAATATAATATATATTATATCAGTCTTCCACGAAATAGTTTAACGCCGTAATGGTTCGTATACACAGTAATTTTGTTTTTTTTTGATTATTTAGTTTTAACTTAACTACTTTAACGTCGAGAATATCCCTTTTTGGCTTAAAATGCAAAAAGCATCCTTGTCAATTTTGTCTATAAGACTTAACTGGACAGATTCCAAATCGTTAGCCCATAATCCAAGACCGAACGAACCCTTGAGACAATTTACGAAACGCAATCTGAGTCATTTTCCGAAATAAACCCCAATGTCTATGTTAGTTGTGTTTTGTAGGATATATCCTGAACATCCTGTTTGTTTGACCTTGTGCTGTTAATTTGCGATAATAACTATGTAAACAGCAAACACTATTTTTATAACTATGTTATGATAAAACTATTGTTTTAATACCGAATTTCTATAACTATATGTATAGTACTTAATTATAATTATGATTTTAAATAGAATTTAAACTATTATTATTTTTTTAGTAAAAAATTGATGACGTTTTTATATATTATTTTAATGCTTCAAAATATAATAAGGTTATTAACAAACTATAATTGCGTTAAAATGAACAAGACATAAATTCAAAATTAACAAGTTACCTATTACTTTTGTGGTTTTAAACATGTATTAAGCTGAAATCGTATATACGTGACGTTATATTTGTTGTCTATTTTTTTCCGTATATTATGAGGAGAGTTTAGTATTGATAGTGTGAGTTGTATCTTCAAAAAACGCTTAAAATTATAATATACAATATATTCACGGCAAAAATGTTATATTTGTTAAGTATTTCTTATCAATTATGTAATACGCATATTGATATATCTTAATCTCTTCAACACTAAATCATTAATTATTAGTCATTAAATCATCTTGTATTTTAGACGTAAATTTTAGTGAAGTACAAGACTACTAGAAATGTATCATTCGTAACCTAAATGCTTGACTCCTCTAATAAAAAATTGTAAACATCAAACAGATGCTCATACAAGTCGATACCAAGTTTCAATAATGTTTACAACATCAATCACAGACCACAAACTTAATAACTTTCTTGTCGAAGTACTTTTATCGTGTATAAACAAACCCAGTGTCTATAGACTTAAATGTTCAAAACTTGTCAAAAGTAGTATGTTTTATAAGGCTGGGGCCACACGAGCGCATAATGTACGTCGTAACGCACGTTAATTTTGACGTCCGTTGTAGAATTATATTGATATTTATAGATAGGGCCACACTAACAACGTGCGTCAAAACGTACGTGCGAATGAATGGACGTCAATTTTTTCCTTTGCGTATTATGCTACAACGCACGTCGAAACATGTATACGCACGTTGTAGAAATGTATTGTCTTGAACTTGAATGGCCATATAGACGCACAATTATCCAGACGTATAATAACATTTTGTTGGTTTTGAAGCGTGTTGTGTTAAATTTGTTCAAAATTCAAATTCAAAAATTATAATAAGTTTCAACTATAAAAAAAATCCTAAAAAATCAATATGGTTAATATTGATAGTGAACTTCTAATTAATGAAGTCCAAAAACGGCCGTTATTATGGGATACTTCAAATGAAGATTACAAAGACAAAAACAAAAAAAATTCAGCCTGGTTTGAAATTGCTTTGTCATTACTATCAAATTTTAATAAAGAAAATGAAGCGCAACAAAAATTAATTTGTAAGTATTTTCAATTTTGTTCACATTTTATTTCCTGTTGGCTAATTAAAAATGAAGTATAATATAAAGTACAATATTTCAAATGAATTTCTTAAATATTATTTAACAATTTATTGCATAGTAATGAAATTAAAACTATGTAGTATGTACCTATTTGAAAAAAAAATAATATGATTTGATGAATACTGTTATTTATTATGATATTATATGAGTGTATATTTGTATTATTATCAATAACTTTTATAATTTATAATTTATACATTATCTTATTAGATTTATAACTCATACAAAATTAAAAACTTTTGTTAGGTATCTATCAACTATATTTTATCCATCTGCCAAGATAACTGCCCTTCGTTACTCATAAAATAGTTTGACAACGCCTCACGATATCGATTTTGATTTCTGTTTGTAGTTATGTTTTCAATGTCACTGAAATCTTCTAGGCCATTGATCGTTAGGGTATCATCATAAATAAAGCCATCTCGATCGCGTACAAAGTTATGTAAGACGCAACAACATTTAACTATATCTACTGCAAAGTCAACTTTAACATCAATAGGTCTATGAAGTATACGCCACTTATTAGATAGGATACCAAATGTACATTCTATATATCGTCTAGCACGTGTAAGACGATAATTGAAAACCTTTTTTTTAACAGGCAAATGAGTTCCTGAATAAGGCCGAAGCAAATGTTTATCTAATCCAAATGCTTCATCGCCAACAAAAGCATAAGGTAGCGAGATGTCTATTTCGGGAAATGTATTACTTGGTGTTGGTGCGGGAATGTTCAGATGATTTTTTTCCAATTTTTCCCAAAGTAATGAATTTCTAAAAATTGTAGAATCTGAATCTTTCCCAAAAGAGCCTATGTCTACGTAAATAAATCTGTAATTTGTATCGGCAATGGCAAGTAGTCCAATAGAAAAAAAATGTTTGTAATTCATATACAAAGATCCACTTCGTTCTGGTTTGATGACGCGAATATGTTTTCCGTCGACTGCTCCTATACAATTAGGAAAATTTGCTCGGGTTTTAAATTCTTCTGCAATTGTAATCCATGTATTTTTATCAGGGATAGGAATACATTTTTCTTTCAAGATGCACCAAATACTTTTGCATACTGTTCTAACTATCTCACTAGCAGTACTTTTCCCAATCCTAAAATTGTAATGCAGTTCTTTTAAACTACAACCTGTGGCCAGATACCTAGAATAATAATAATAATTTACTCAGATAAAAATTAATAATAAATAAAAATTGTTTTTATTATAACGTTATTATAATACACTAAAAAAAATTACAAAGGGTTTTTCATAGTATTTAAAATAGGAATATTTAATAAAAATATAATAAGTGCCCAGTGAAAATAATTTATTACTAAATGCTGAACAATTTTGGTTTTTTATCATTTTTATTTAGTGCAAGATATAATGGCAAAGTGGAGAACAATCCGTGATAATTATGCAAGAAACTTAAAAAAAATTGGAGAAAACTCAAAATCTGGTTCAGGTGCTAAAAAAATTAGATTATACATTTATGCAGAGCAATTATCATTCTTGGGTAAAAGCAAAGAATTACGAAACACTGAATCTAGTTTTGATCATGTAGCCGCTGTTGAAGAAGAAATTAATAGTATTGATGAAAATGAGCAAGCTAGAAACGAAGATGGGTTTCCTCCACATACGTCTAGTGTGACAGAAAAATCAAAAACGAAATTTAAGAGACCAGACGTTGAACGCGCATTAATTGATTTTATGGAAAGTCACAAAGCGCCCAAGAAACCGCTCGAAAATGATGATTTGGCATTTTTTTATTCCTTACTTCCATCAGTTCAATCTTTAAATATGGAACAAAAATTTATATTTAGAATGAAAACAATGCAGCTCCTGCACAGTTTACGAAATAATAAAACGAATGAATCCATGCAGAGTCCTTCAACTGTGAGTGTACCCACACATAATATGTTTTATCGTCCGGCACATATTGTTTCTGATCGTGAAAATATGCATTCTCCATCTACATCATCCGTCGGATCATATTACTCTCAATTTTCAGTTGAAGGTAATAATGTGTCGAACGATAGTGGAACTTTGGAAGGAGGTTATCATTATCAAAATCTACTGTGATTTTATTATTTTAATTTAATAAAGTTAAAGAACAAGTTGTTACTGTTTGGTTATGTATAAAAATAAAATTTTATGATTTATTTTCGTAATTTTAATGAAATTAATTCAAAGTATTACTTTTTTTTTTATTAAGACACGTTTATCACTATAATTTTAAATATTTAAGTATTATTAATACATCAAAATTATGTTATGTAGCTTATTTAATAAAAATAATAATATTTAAATTAATGTTTATTATCTTATTATTTAATTTTATATACTTCATTATAACTTGATTTTTAAATATATGTACATACCTTAAAGTTATCACTAATTTTTCTTCGGGTTGAATAGCTATTCTCATATTTGTATCTTGCCGTTTTATATCATTTTCTATGTACGATAACAACTCATCAAATGAACTTATCGACATGCGAAAATAATTAAAAAACTTAACATTGTCTTTTCGAAGTTGCTTATACAATTGAAAATAATGGCCATGTGATTGACGTTCAGAGTTTATAGGGTGAACCCAAAATTGTCTTCTTTGCTGATTTCTTAAGTACAAGTACGTCAAATATGAAAACGTAACCATTTCGTTCGAATCCATTACACCTACGTCTTGTACCGCATAAAATCTGTACGAAACTACTTTTTTCAAAAATAATAAATCTACGGTCGTAATATTTAATGGTTGTGTGAACTGATAAATACGTGTGTCAAAATATACGCACGTTATAACGCACGTACTATGTACGCTCGTGTGACCCCAGCCTAAAACAAAAAAAAAATAATAATAATAATAAATAACAAAAAATTCGTATAATACATATTATAAAACGTTTTTACAACTACTCAATAATTAATAATTAACGTTTTGGTATAGATTTGTAGTGTACGTTAGAGACGTTAGACTAACAACGAGTGTTCAGTGAATTATAGACAACTTAATATGTGAGTCCAATTTAAATGAATGTATGATTTTATAAAATAACATTAAAATATCAGCACATATAATACGAGTATTACATTCACCGGGATAATAATCAATTAGTTATTTAAAACTGACATAACGGGAGTATTTACATAGGTACTTAAGTCATAGCAAGGAAAATATTTTCATTCTAAAATCTGTATTAATGGACAAATATGATCAATCATTTTTCATGTCGTTTGGCAAATCACTTCTAATGGACTGTCTTGGATTATAGTAATATATTGTGAAATAGCACCGATGGGAATCCCTGGTGATGATGATAATAATAATAAAAAAAAATAATACTTTGAACATATCTGTCGATCGAAATAAATGATTTGAAACCTAAACACATTTTAATATGTTTTTATTCAGATAATACATTATAAATATACACTTAATTAAATTCTGATCATTTTATATTATTTAAAACCATATACCAGTGAAAAATAACTAATGAATCAGCACACATTTGCATCACAAATCAGTCGAAAAAAACAATCGATGAATGAAAACAACGGGCAAGATTATGCTGTATGTCATTAATTTAGATAAATTGTAGATAAAAAATAATAATCATCTTTTTCAAACTGCTAGCCTTACAATAAAATCTAGATAATATGTGCAACGTACGTATACACCAAATATTACACCGGAATTACGCGCGTATGACATTTTGTAAGCACTGTTGAGAAACATAGAACATACTTACCACGTTATCGACATCATAATGTCAAGAACGCGTAAACCTTGCCGGCTAATTAATATTCAAATATCTCTACGTAATCGTTGAAATAAGAATTCCATTATTTAGCACTAGGAGCACGTGGAGTGCGTAGGGAGATCGGGAAAGATTGAAAATCTTGAAAAACGAGTTTCTCAAACAAGAAATGAACACTGAAAAAATCACACTGCTCGTCCGTAATCCCAATAGGTTAGATTAAGGCCTACAGACGTCCAGAATATAATATTATCACATCTTCCATATTATTATAGTATTATGCAACGCGTTCGTTTGAGTTTTTGGATTTCACAGGACAGACAATATAGACTCGCGTTATAATAGTCAAATATTTCGTCCGAACGCGCAAGTTGTACTTAATAAGTAAACCTCGAAATGTTAAATTGGTTGACAATATCATTTTAACTATTTGCTAATGAACTATTTCGTATGAACAATAGTTGAAAATCATTTAAATATGCACGAAGGTATTAGAAGAAAAAAATCATTGCTTAATCAAACGTACTTTCTCAAAATAAACGTTTTTCATGAGGCTTTCGTTAAACTGCTTTAGTATGACTTCATTCTTCGGGAGACAATACACTAATTTATTTATTATTTTATTATAGTATAATTATTTTCTATTTCTGTGATAATGTGAAATAGATTTTATTTATTTTTCTTCTCTAATTGTGTACGGTTATTTACTATTATCATTTTTTATTTTTTTTTTTACTTCAGACCTTTTATTTTTAACGATGTACTTAAATTTGTATCGTTCATGTGAAAAAAACGAAAAAAATACAATTTATCTAACATATTTAAATATTTGATGATCAATTGTAAACTGTATGAGGTAAACGCTTTAAACATACAAAACATTTTTTTTTTTTTTTTTTTTTATGCAATACACATCATACATGTTTTAACTCTTATGTGAAATCTAAAAAATTATGATATTATGATCACAAATTATTGAATAATATTACTGATAAAATATCAAATTTGATTAAACTACGATACTTGTGTAAGTAACAACTTTAATAACTTACAAAATATATAAATAGTTAAGTGAAAATGCTTGTTAATTACTTAATTAACTTATTGTTATCTTAATCGAATAATTTCGACCGGGAATAATAATGATATCACATAAACTATAATAAGGAATTGCCATGAGAATATTATTGAGAAATTGCCATTTATTTAAAGTTATATTATTCTTCGCAACAAATTGAATTACGTGTACTACACGCCACGCTTGTATTTAATATTTCACTTAATTTATCTGATGAACATAGAACTTGATTGAACTTCATATATTCCATATCGAACATTATTGTTATTATTGGTATTATACGGCCGCACAACGATTGCGAAACTTAATCAACTTATTGCACATCACATTCACGTATTCAAAGTCGGTGCACACGTACGACACTATAATATTATAATATCATTGCTGTAGTTAAATGAACACAACGGTACTATAAATTGTCGTGTACGCTGCTCCGTCCGTTTCGATTAAATCAATCGACCGGAGAATTTCGATGTAGTGCGTGTACAGTAAAAAAAAAAAAAAAAAAAAAATAATAAATAAATAATAATAATAAAAAATAATAAATGAAAAACCGTAGACAATAATATTATCATGTGAAATAGTCTCCGAAAGAATAAAAAATGCAACGAAAATGTTTCTGTAAACTACGTGTAGTACGTAGGTACATTATTGTTGTTATTTTTTCCGTCGCCCGTCGCAATGCCAACGCGACGGAGACGTTTTTCTGTGTTTGTCGGATTTGAATTGGTACTTTGTGGCCGCGCAATAATGTCCTCTTTTAATAATAATTGTTTCTTTGCTGCGTATTGCTTTTAGTGGCCATTGTCAAACTCGAAAACCCGTCGTGCAAACACTTCCACGAGATTCGACGATGTTGTTTTTGCTAGAAGTTTCGACTCGACTAGACTTTTTACTTAATAAATACACGTATATACGCCATTAAAGTTAAAGGTTAAATACCGCATTTATACTTTGCTTGCGACTGCACGGCGGTTATTCTGCCTTGGACGGTTTTTATTCGCGCTGTATGTATATATTTTAATAATAGTAAAATAGGTTGCGTCTTCTGTGTCAGTTATTTCGGAAATTGTTTCGAAAACTACGTCATTTAAAATTACGACTTAAGACTATACATTTTAACGACGGCGTATTAAGTAATATACACATATTTGTTTTAACCCTACGATTATTGGCTATATAATAAATATTTTATATATATATATATATATATTTTATAAAGACCTATACGAGTGAGTATGTTTATTTAGTGCATAGTTTTAAACAATTAAATTCATGTTAAAACATGTATAACTTTTATTTTTTTCTAATAAAAAATGTATGAAATAAACTTTTAAATTATTTCCTTAGTTACACTAACTATATCAAAATTAAATGATTGGACTATTACAATAACGCTTTAAAATCGTGAAATATATTATTTATATTTATTTTTCTCCAAACAGAGTGTATAATATTAGCGAGTATACAAGGTTTAAGTATAAAGTATATGTGTCCATGGTGAGAGTGACTGGCTGTCATCGTATGATTGTATACCTTAAGAATTAAGTTATGAAAAAATTCTTTTAAGAGGTTGGATAGTCCAAATTTTTTTAAGTTATGATCAATTTAACTTTTTTTGAAAAAAAAAAACTAAACAACAGTATATTTACAGATGTATCAAATTTACGGTGTAATCACATCAAATTTATATAGTCATTTTTTAAATAGGTAATAAAAATTTTTTATTGTGTTATCAACTAGTTTATTTTACTGAATAATAAAAAAATAAATAAAAACTGTATTAATACGGTATTATTTGGAGTTATACGCGATTTACTTTGAAAATGACTAATTTTCGATATTTATTTTTACTTTTTTTTTTTTTTTAAATTTAATAAAAATAATTTATACATTTAATTTAAATAAATATTGTACACCCACATATTTTTATTGGCTCTAAAAAAAAAAAAAAAATGATAACCACTTGAAATATTTCTATAGTTATCATAGTATATAGTATAATAATTATTATCAATCAGTATAAATGTATATTATTAACAACAATTGGGTAAATGAACAACTATTTTATGAGTAACACGCGATTGATAAGACATCAAGCAACTCGAGATAACCATAATTTTTAGCTACAAAATTTTAATCTACCTACTTATAAAATTAAAGTGTACATCGAGTTATACAATTTATCATTCAGCAAAACCATGATTAATTAGTCTTGATTTACACTAATCCTGACCATAAACTACAAAATTGCGCGTTGACATTTTTTTTTTTTTTTGGTGACAATATCATTGAAAACAGCATTGCTTTTTATTCAAAAACATGAAATTTCGTAATTTAAAGATTATTGTTTATACACTTATCATGATTTCGTTTTTTCTCATGTTAAATTGCGTAGTTATTTAAGTTAATAAGAATAATTAGCGAATCGTTATTATTTGTTGAGTAGCAAAATTAAGTCGACCAAATATTGTATTCAAATACTGCGACGAATTACTATCTAGTTTAGCTAGATTAAGAATATTATTATTTTCTAATCACACTGCAGAATTATGATTAGTTTTAGCGAGCTTCTTAAAGTTATAAAATCTATATCATAGCACGTGTTAACTTTTTGGTAGAAGATTTCATGCTCTCCCTAACCAACATACTTCAGATAAGTACCAACGAATTTGTCCATGGTAAATGTATTAATTAAAATTAATACCATACAAATTGTCACGGTAATCGTAATACAATAATAGTACAGAGTTTTAAAAGCTCACAACATGGAATACGGAATAAAAAGTCGAATCGAAACTACCTATTGTCTATTGACAGTATTACAATATACGATACTTTTATCGTGTTATCCGCATTATATGCCGTCGGCTTTAAATAATATGTTTAATCGTTTAACACAGATACCTATGATTTATTCGCCAATTAATAATTTCCATTTGGAATCGTGTTCATGTAACTAAATGATCCATCACGCTCGGTTTTAAAATGACGATACACTGTGTTGCTTACCCAAATACAATAGGACTATACTCCAGTTTCGCAGAATACGATATGATTGGTTTTTCTAATAATTCCACTCTGTACATGTGAATATAATATAATATTATATTATTGTCAGTACGTTATTGCCCATTGAAATCAGTGGATTGAAATTTAACATAATACATTTAATTTTACCGTGATATATGGGTAGGCATTAAGCACATATATATGTGATACGTAAAATATGATTTCATCAAAGTCACACGAAATCCAACGGTAAATATAATAAATTTTACCTATTTAAATTAACTATTAAAAACACCCAGGAATTGGTAATTGGAAATTGGGGGTACAACACGATTGCGAACGTTTTACCTTTTTTATAACACGATTGCGAACGAATAACTCTTATCAGAGAATTTGTTTTTTTAGCCGAAAATCGAACGATTGCGAATGTTTTTTTAGACAACGTTGCCAAGTTTATAATTTCTGAATATTTTAAACATTTATTTATTTTTAACATTTATTATAAACATTTTTTTTTTTTTTAATATAAACTATTGGTATTAATAATACAATTAAAACAATAACTCTTCGTTACAAACTAAAATAAAATTATACAATTGGTATGTAGCGTTTAAAATGTTGATTAATTAAAACAATTTTCGTTGTATAATTATTAATAATACTGTTACAAAATGTACTTGTTAATTTTACGTTATAGAAACTGAATAAAAAAATAATATAATACATTCAAAATACTAGTTTTAAAAATACACATGTTAGTGTTACGTTAGAAACTGAAAAATAAATAAAATAATACATACATACATAGATCTGAGTTCTGAATAAAAAATAAAATAATACATAAACATACATTCAAAATAATAGTTTTTAAACATTTTTTTCTAGATTTTTATTTTTTTTTTAAATTTTTTCCTTGGTAGGAATTTCCAGTTTTTCTTAAATATAAAATTAAATCCTTGTTGTTTTTATAATCATTATAATTTTGTAGAGTTAATTCAATTTTAAGTTTATTTTTTTTGGACATAGGATTATGTACATTGTTTTTAATTGAATTAATTATTGTCAAAGTTTGAGCTTGTGTTTCTTTTAAAACTGATATAACTACGTGTGTTGGAGGATGGGGGCTATAAAACTGACCATTGTACGTCCTATGAAAACTCTCTGGACCATTAGTAGTTCTAAAAAATAATTATAAAAACTTAGAGATTTTGAATTTACTAATAAAATTAACATAGGAGAAAGAATTTAATTTAAAAAATTTTAAAACCATACCTTGGATTTACTGAGGGTTCTTGTGCCCAAAGATATGGTGGAAATAATGAATCAGGTGCAATATATGTTGATACTAAATAGTCTGTAAATACATGAGCTTCTTCTAGGTTAGGGCATTCGGCTATTAATGCTAAAAATGCATCTTCAATTTCGTCACTGGGTAAAAAAGGTAAGCCGAAAAATAATTTTAGCCATTGACCTAATTCATTGTTTTTTTCTTTGTATGCATTTCTCAAATTTGAATCTTCATTAATCTGTAGATATTTTATTTCATTAAAAATAATGCTTCAAAGTCGTAAAGAGTATTAATTTATAAATAAGATTAGATTTTGATATTACCTTTCTCCACCAAGCTTGACCTAAATGAAAACGGCATGTTACAATTATCACATTTGGAAATATTTCTTTGGCAGCTTCATGAGCTCCAGATTCAAAATCAAAATGTAGTTTTTGAACATCGAAAGTTGAAGAAAAAAATTGTTGACATAGTTCCGAAAGATATTTCCACATATTCAAATAAGTTTCTTTTGTTTTGTTTGTAAGAAAAAAATATACGATAGGCACATAAAAACCATTTGTGTGAGAATGTATGGTATAAAGTTGTAAAAAAAATTTTGGTGCGTAATCAAATGTACCATCTCCAAAAAACTCATTTTGTGTTGTCATAAATTTTAAATTTTCTTTTGTAGTTATACAAACAAATTCACCATTTTCCGGAACAAAAACAAATTGATCTCCGTTAAATAAACAAAAATCATTTTCCACCAGTTTCAGTTGAGAAATTGCTTCGTTGAATGATGTGGGAAAAGCAGGATACATTTTACGTCGCTTATCGTACATTGCTTTACGCACAGATTGTATATCTAATCGTATATTACCCAAATATTCCATGTGAATCGTACACATTATGTAAGAAAAATTAAATATTGTACCGATATTATCATAGAGTTAAATGTGTACGTTCATTAACGGATGAAAAAAAACCGCGCTTAAATTAGTAGTATATTAGATTAGGTATTAATAGTTCATGTAACTGTTTTTCTCTCTCGTACATATCTCATTATCTAACTTATTTATAATTTGAAGAAAAAAATTATCAACTTACGATGAGTAAGAAACAATTAAAAAAAAAATTAATTTCAACGACTCCCCGCTGTGTTCTGTCATTCAGTATTTTACAGTAACATAATAATTTGAAAAAAAAATCAATACAATTTTTTTTTCTTTTATGTAACTCCGTTCGAATCAATAACAACAGTAGAATATTGTATAATGTATGTGCATGTATGTTCTGTCATAATTTTAACATCCTAGTGAAAATTGTACCATCATTGCATAACACTTAGTAGCATATAACTACTTCAGCAGTGGTCTGATTAAAAGTTTGTGATTAAATCAATTTAACAGTTTCGTACAGACAGCTAACGAAGTCTTTAACTCAATATTTAATTAACCATGATTACAACGAGTATTCTCCCGGTGCAGGTTAAAGACGAACGGATCAGTCCGGCACAATACTCAACCAACTTCTCTTTTATGCCGTGAATCCCATAACTTTGGCACATATTTACGGGATGAGTATGGAATGAGCTTTCACTCACAACCACAGATTGGTCGTTTCTGGAGTTCGAAAAGTGTAATTTCTCAAACTAGAACAAGACATTACATGAGTGGGGATTTTAATCAGCGTTGAGACTTGAGATTCTTTTAAAGGGTATATTTAATCGGATAACGATGTATTAATGTATTGTTTATTATTATCTTTACCGATATAAATTATTACACTACGAAATATTATGAACGTAACCTATGTGTTTTATATTTTGTCTAAATAAATTTCAATTTCACTGTCTTTATTAAATTAACTTTTTTTTTTTTTTTAAATACTGTAGTAAAAAACTGATTATAATTCACATAGCATGGAAATATTAATACCCATAGTAACTGTATTTGTTACTTGTTAATTTTACTTTGTCATTATGAATTTATAATATCAAATAAGTACGTAATTAATAATTTAAAATATTACATACTTAACTTTTTGCGAACTTTCATTTAGTCTGTATGATATCCAGAATTTCTACTTTGTGATTATCTACGTACAGTAGATTTTTACAATACTAGAATTTTATTTTTTGAATTATACCAAGTACCTACAGATAAAATCACCGTTAATTGTTATTTTACGTAAAATTTTACCAAATTTAATTTGTTTGAAATATGAAGTTATAAAATGATTATTTACAAAAGATTTGACATTTTTAACACTTTATGGTTTCTCTAGTTTAAATAAATTTTAAATACAATAAAAATAATAATAATTATTATTTACTATAACAAGTGTTAAGATTTAAAATATTTTTTCTTATTTTTGTTTACTTTATTGTTTCTTTTTTTTTTTTTTTTTTTTAAAAGCATGGAAATAATAATACATTTTAAGTGATTTACTATATTATGAAGATCTAATTTCCTAAAGTTAGTCACGCCCATTACACATCACCATTAAGATACTAAATATTATTACATCACTGAATTTAATGTAAATAAATAAATAATATAAAATACTGTTGGCTATACATAATATGTAGGTATACCTTAAATTTGAGAAATTGAATAAAGTAATTAATTAATTAATTTTATTAATTAAAGTTCCAAACTATCAGCTTATAAGTTAAAAGTTCCCAATTATTATTAAATAAATAAACATTTCGTTAAAAATGCAACCAACATTATTCCTTATATTATTACGTAAAATATTTTAAAAGTTAAGGTTAACTATATATTTGTATCTACTAAATTATTAAATCAAGAAATTTTACTTGCTCTACATTTATTTAAAATCATTGTCTATACAACGTGATTAAACAAAAACAATTACTTTTTTAAAAGTTTTTATATTTAAACTAACTACAGATAAACATGAAAAATGAGTTAACTGAAAAAAATATAAATTAATACTATGGATAATGTTAATAATCTATTCAAGATATCAAGGTACTAATAATAATTATGACGAATTTAAAAAAAATTAATATTTTTTAACATGTTAATGCTCATTTGTGATAGGTATGTATAACACACCGTATTATTATAATAATTGGTATTATTAAAATAATTGTTTTATGCGTAAATAGTGTACTATGAGTTGAATTCATCATTTAGTATTTTTGTATAACATAAGAAAGGACGGCCTTGTTCATTACGATCAAACCGTAACCGAGTACTTGCTTTATACTGAAAAATAAGATGTATAGAAACATATTATTTTTTCAGTGCTCATCGTTTTACATTATGCCTTTTACTACAGAATATTACTCTACAATACTACAATTCACGTTATTGGGATTATAATTGTTGGTGGCTGTCCAGATAAATTTACGGTTTGCTACACAGGACCGTTGGGAAAGATTCGGGTGCAGCATATTATACGCAACGTCTGTAGCAGCTGCCACCTGCCATTGAGTTTACTAGGCACCTATTATTTGCTGACGTCCAAACGATTGTCGGTTGTGGGTAGACACTATTAATGACACCAAAGTGAATTCAACATTGCTGAAAGATTAATACGAATAAGTCTGGTACACGTTAAATATACTATTGACCGTGATTAAAGTGTATAATCATTAGCAGAGCATAATAATATCGTATTAATGTATAAACGCAGTAATAGTATAACGGTTTCACGATTTCCGTAGGTAAATCTTTCGTATCTTTGTCAAACTCTATAGAAAACTCGCAATTACGACCGTAAAACTATTTATAAAATAATCCTCAAATATATTCAATACCTAGTCCGTTTGAGCATTCAGAATATCTTAATGGGACACTCAAAGTACTAACCATAGTTATGAGATGTAAAATAAAAAAAAATTATAAAAATGTGAATACAATTAAATATATATATATATATTTAAATAGATCAGTTTTGTTTTGATCCATATAAAAATATAAACTTTGATTGGCCCGAATAATCCAAATCCCACATTGTCTACATCCTAAAAAATAGTTCTCTACTAATGATTCATTTATTTATTTATCGTATTTTATATTTAATTCAGTATAATTATATTGTAATTGGACGAGACAGAAAATAATATAAAATACGGTGTTGTTGTGACTACTATCTTTGTTGATTGCGTTTGATATTTAGGTAAAAACACTAAAATCTGTGAAACATTATGGCGTATTAAAAAAAAAAAAAAAAACCGTCGCAAATATTTCGTTAATTTTATTCACTGTCGGTTAAACAATGTGCGGCGATAAAAGTTAATAACGCATGGCTATATGAGATCAATTAATATTAATAGGTTCGTCGACTTTGCGCCCATCGTTGTTTTATCAAACCGGTACGGTATAAAAAAAATACAATATTAGCTTTACGCCCCTTAGGCAATACGCCATGACTGTTATTATTCTACGTACAGAGTGGTTCGCCAACCATTGCCACCCTAATTGCTTTACTTTAATAATACATTTATTTAAACTTGGATATTTTGTATTTTAAGTATAGAAATAAATAACACATTTTATATAAACAATTTAAGAATGTATTGTGTGTGTAATACAAACTTCTCTGATTTTCAAATAATAACTAATATTTTTCACTTTAAATTGTCAAACATATGATTTGTTTTAAATGTTAATATATCTAAATCAAAATTAAAAAAAGAAATCTGGGATCTAGCATTTATAACAATTACACAATTTTTACATATTATTAAAAAATGTTTATAAATTAATATTAATTTCTGAATTGTTCAAATCATCATAGCCTCTTATCAGTTATAATCTAAATTTATTATGATTGACCCATATCACAAGTTTAATACATATTACACTTAAAAACTAAAAAAATTATTCGATTTTGATAAATCTATATTTTTATAAAAGTTATCTGACATAACATAAACAGGAAAAAATAAAGCGATTATCATTCAAATAGAAGAAGCTGGTACAGAACACTCCTTACATGAAGCTATAAAGAATCTAAGTATTTAAAATGACAGTCAAATCGGTATGAAAAATGGGAAAAACTTGATTGATAACTCTGTATAATAAATTTTAATAATTATTGCCATAAGCCAATATCGCACTCTGCAGACCAAACCGTTATTGTGGAGTATTATAATGCATGTATACATACCTCTTCGCGTAATCAAAAAGACAAAAACAATACCGATCATCGTCGTATACATCCGTACCTTTACATCGCACTTGGTTCGCTGTTCGTGTTGTTCTTTACAAACTATCACCATTAGTCGTGTGCGCCCTAAAGGGGTAATGCACAATACATATAATAAAACAAACCTGTATGAGCTGTACGTTATACACATATTTATACCACAACTACGATAGGGTTAGGCTTAATTTACGGACGTGAATGTAATATTATATTATAATGACACTATAAAACAGACATAACGGGTTTTCACGATGAAACGTAAACTATATATTAATTACATGAACACAAGGTGATTATCTTCACAGTGAACAATTGTATTTGAAAACAATCTACTTATTAAAATAGTTTCCTGGAAAACGTAATATATTGGTACATGCAATTTTAACAACATATTATTTGTATACAGTACATTCCTTACTCTTGATCCTTTCATCAAACGATAAAAATGATATAATTATAACCATATTATAAGGCATAAATATACTATAAACATAATATAAAATATATTTAAGCTACTTATGCACACTACGCACACGTCACAGCAAGAAGTGCTTTATAAAGTTTCCACGTACGTTAAAATTATGGTATTAAAAATGGAGTTAAATATTTTATGAATTTACCTATTTTAACACACCTTTAATACATAATTCCTACTTAAACTTTAAACTCAACTTAAGTTAATTTTTATTATATTTCTATGGCGTTAAATTAATTTAAAAAAACT